AGTTTACGGCGTTGTGAATTAATAGTGCTTCAAAAAAGTTTCAAAAATTTGAACAGTGATGTGCTAGAGTTTTCACGCTCGTTGATTTCAAACTCAACTTCTTACGAGTTTGTAAAGCTCTTCAAATAGTGTAGCCACGATTTTAGGGAGCATAATAAAGATGCAATTGCGGTTTACCCGGCATAACTTATGAAGGAAGCATTGCGGTAAACTGTAAATTCATACTTGTTTTTAACTGCTCAGAATTAGCTTAGTGTAAGAGTTTTCTAGCCGCTTTTTGCTTTCTAAGGCCCCGGACAGACTTCACGCGACTTAATCGTTGCGATCTAATCGCCAAGATTTCCATTCATTTTCATTTGACATTCAAAATTTTCGGGCTGGAAAAGTATCACAACCGAATGCAAGTTGATCGGCATGGAATAATGTTGTAACAGTTGCCTCGTCGCGATTCAGTCGCGACGATCAAATCGCCTGAAGTCTGCCCGGGGCCTAAGGAAGAATAGGAACCAGTTGCTTAAAACCCTTCTTGAAGGTTCTACCGCAATCCTACAATAGAAACTTCAAGAAGGGTTCTATGCCATTCTGAACATGTAGGTGATGAGGAGCGATGGTTCCATACTATAAAATCCAAACTGAGACCAGATCTACAGGAATGGTACCTGAAGGTGAGTAAAAGACTCATTGGAGAGATATTGACGATCAAACACTTATACTATGATCGTCTCCACGATTCTTGTAGGGGCGGGTTGCGACTTTCCCTGATTTTTAGGATGAACTTATCAAACCTCTAGGTCATAGCACTGTTTTTCGTACTCTCTCGTTAGCAAAAATTGCCATGCATTGTGCTGGCGAAACCCCGAATCTACACGAACTGTGGAGTCGCTGTTACATACTTTTGGGACACCCCATATCTTATAGTGGAAAAGAAACAATGAATCAAAGAGAGTAGACCTTAGCATAACCATTGTCTTAGCATGGTTAGAAAAGGCTTTCAAGGTTGCGAAGGCGCCGAAAACTATATTCAAAAAAGTTTTCTAGCTCCACTGTTTGTGTGTGTTGATGTAATTGTGAAAGTATAAGTGTAGAAGTTAACACGTTGACGACGGCACGCATTTTTAGCTGTCTGCGTTGTGGGATAATGTCTTCACGACTAACTTGAGGCGTTGTGGGATAATGTCTTCACGACTAACTTGAGAGTTTTTAGCTAAAGTCAAGCAGACCGTCATCTACAGTATCCCTACAGTGCTTCTGAGAAGCAGCCAAGAAAAACGGAAGTAGTTCGTAGCAGTGGCGTACCCAGGATTTCGGCTCGGGGAGGGCGCGACATAAATTTTTTTCTAATGAAGGTGCGTGGCGTCAGCCACGCACTCCGAAAAAATTTTAGGGGTGGTTTCAAAAATTTTCCCGGTCTCATAACCCCGATAATCCAGAAAAAGGGGGCGTGGCTGATTTTATAGGGCTGATTTGAATTTTTAAAAAATTTTAAAAGATATTTTAATCATTTACAAGTATAAACAAATCATTTGCACAATTTTATAGCTCACTAGCTGGCTTACCCGGCTCCGCCGTATGTTCCGAATAGAAAATTCCATTTCTTAACCGATCCGGACCAAACTTGGCACACATACACTTCGGGCCCCGGCGGGTTTCATAGGCTACTTTTTCCCCCGTGTGGGTGATCAGCATGCTCGATTACACCCCCCCCCCTGCCAAACTCCAGCCCCCTAGCTCAAATTTTGCAAAAAATCGATAAAATCAATATCGATCGATGACGAAAAGTAGCCTATGACACCCGCCGGGGCCCGAAGTGTATGTGTGCCAAGTTTGGTCCCGATCGGTTCAGAAATGGAAATTTCTATTCGGAACATACGTACAGACATACAGACAGACAGACAGACAGACATACAGACAGACAGACAAACAAACATTCAGCTTTATATATAAGATGTAAGCAACTTTCAAAAATTTCGCGACCCATTCTCGGGGGGGGGGCGCGCCATTCCCCGCCCCCCCTCCCTCGGTACGCCACTGGTTCGTAGGTATACGCCATAATAGAACTTTTGAAACAAGGGTCATTGCATGACCCACCATGTGGGTCACGTTGTCGTCAATGTGTTAATGTATAATTGTAGAAGTCATTTGCTGTTGAGTAGCTTTCGTCATACATGCTACTTAAATTTTAGAATTTTCCATCTAAATGCAAACAGCATAACCACAACTACTCAAGTACAAATTTTTTATTACAAATTTATTTTGACATAAACAAAAACTTTTAATGCCCAGCGACAACTTATACAATTCCGTAGGAGAGTAATCTGGTCTCAAATTAATATTGTACTCGACAAGCTATTTGGAAACGTATGGTATTGGACAAGAGTTCTAAGGTAAGTTAATCAGCCATGAATAAATAAATCATATGAGCGAGCTTGAGCTATGGCTTAGTATTAACCTTCTATCCAGACAAACGAAAAAGTCAAGTCACCCAGAGTTGCCTGAACATTGCTGCGTACCGCAGCAAAAGGTGCGTATAAGATTTTCAAAACAAAAATGAAGGTGGTTATTCATATATTCCTAACGTGGAATGCCTCTTTGGTCGAAGTCGCCACTAAAAATGAAATGTACGTTGCCGAGGACAATGTCGAATATTGATCTTCAAACTGCCTTTTTCGCCTGCGGAACCTTTTTCGAGAAAGAGTTTGATCAAGTCATCGCGTCAGTTGGCCTATTGAAATTGTAGTACGCGTTAATGTGATAGGAAAATGGAGTGCAATTAGGTGATGCATAAACACGGACAGAGCTTCAAACGCTGATGTCAGATATGCATTCTACATCTGCGGTGCGCTCTTCTGAAAAAAGTTATGAGCTTTTCTTATGCCAAATTTTCGTGCATTTTGAGTCACGGCAGATTTAATTCGTTAAATTCACGGTAGTTTTCACACAAAAGTATGCAAGCTCAAGCAAAGCACATGATAAGTGTTGTAGGTCTAATATGATATCATATGAACGTTTCCGAGTGCTTAAACAAGTTGTAATATTCGCATGTCGTCGTTTTCCTTCTAGACGACGCTTCTATTATACAGGGTGCGGAAAAAGTACTGTTCCTCTAAATAAAGGCAATAAATTGGGGTTATTCCCCTGTTTTCTGGTAACTTTGACGTAACTTCTAATGTAAGATGTAAATGTAATCCAGCAATTTACAAAAACTGGCTCAAAATTTCTGCATTTTCACCCGGCGGCGGGTTCCCTTTTGCAACGCATCCCATACCAAATTTGCAACTATCTTTTACATGTAAAGAAGTGTAAAGTTTTTTGCAAAATTCTTTTGTTTTCAACATTGACGTGAGAAATCTCCTATTGCTCAAGGAATGTTGTAGTGTCTTCGAAATATGCTGGAAGTAGCCAGGCCGCAGTTGCAGTAGGAGAAAAGTTGTGAAAGTTTCCAACGAAATAGCTCTGCGGCACAACAGGATGCGACCAGAAAATGTGGCAGAGAAACCAAGTACAATCGTTAGTGACTCAAAACTATGATGTAAACAAGGCCCGATGTCCTTTTAATTTTTCCTGTTGCTTTTTGTTTGAATCTGGAGTTTCGAACCACAGTTTGGATCCAATTTATTGAGCAAGAGCAGATCTGATTAGCCTCTTCTCGTGTTTGGAATCCTTGTGATATAATTTTCCTTGTTTAGTCAGAATTTCAAGTCACTGATCCATAATAAGTACAGAATTTTGGAAAAGAGAGTATGCTCTACATACTACCTTGATCTGAATTTGATGTAACTCGTGGTGGTATAATTACGGTCCAAAACTGAGAAACGCCGCAGCGCATCGTCGATGATGCTGCTCGCTGTTATCACTCACCTAAATAAAGAGAAAAAACCGTTTCAAATCAAACTTATCTTAGTCGAATCTACAAAGTCTTGCCTACGTGTGGGATTCTAAAAACTATGTATTTTCTCCATCTGTGAGATTTCTCAGAAGGCAAACTGAGGGACAGTACTTTTTCCGCACCCTATGAGTACAAAAAAAGAATTAAACTCTTGTAGAAAAACGCTTCACAAATATAGAGGGTATATTTGAAATCAACGTTGGAAGCTTTATACTTATGTACCAGTGCGTCACCTCTGCTTCGCGGAGGTTCGACTGGCTCTCCTATCCGTTTGCCTTTCTCATGTTCGTATAATGATGACTTTGAAACCCACCATGCGATGCTGAACATCACAAATGAATAGTAAACAACTGTCCATTTTCAAAGCATCTCCATGTAAGATCGGTAATTTTGAGAGAAACAAACTTGTCGCAAAGGAACACCTGCGGATTTGATTAGATTACCGAATTCGTTTTGGCTTGGTAGTCGTCATAAGGATAATAGTCACTTTGAGCTTAATTTCCGTGCAAAAACCTTTCCAAGTCTGAAGGTAAAACATTGCCAAATCGACTGTTTAAGCGATCACCACTTCTTGGCGCTGTTATCGCAGAAAAGCAAACTTTTTGAGCACTTTTTGGGCTAGAATTCATGAAGCGCAGATGTACTTGTCAGGCAAATCATGACTTCGTAAAAAGTCGAATTAATGACCTAGTTTTGCGTGCCAAATGCCGCGTGGGCCCGTTTGATGCGCAGTTTCTAAAGGTCCCAAATATCGGATCAGCTTGTGCTTTTGCTCTTTTTCCTACATGCTGGTAGGGCGCCATGACCAAAATTTCAGCTCAAGACCTTGCCTACAAAACGCTCTATGAATTTCGTGACGGACAGACATAAACACACACAGAGACAGACAGACACGCGCTTTATTATAAGTCATGATACATCACCTTCCGAATCCCTTTGACCAAGCTGACTTACCTTATTGGTTCAGCACCTCATTTTGAATGGCCACTTCGACAGAGGCATACATCATAAGCAGTTTACATGACAAAGACATGGAAAACTATGTCTGTTTCCTCCAACCAAATTCATTTCAAGTACATCTCATTTGTTCTTTCCGTCTTGCTAGAGCGGACAAATGCTGGCTATACTGGCGCTGTGGATATTGTATACAGCAACTGTCACATCAGCTTCAGCAATTGAAAATGTGGATAGTTTTCTCACTACTACTATTCGCCAATTTTTGTCATTTAGAAGTTGATAACACACTTGAGGAAACGGATAGAAAACAATCAAGTAAAATTCCAGCGGCGATTTGAGTTTCAGCGTCAGTTACTTAGCCTAAACCTGAATTAGGACGAACAAATATCAGGACGATTTCATTCCAGAGCTTTGTAATTCTGGAATCGCAATGTACACGATATCCAGAGGTTTCTGGAAATGTGAAACTGAAAACGACTGCCCGTATGGTTACGACTGCACTCGGAGCAAGAAGAGTAGCCGCGTGTGTTGTCCAACGAAAGGTGCATCGCAACTCGTTTCTGAAATAGTCGGTAAAATATAAGCCACCTCTTTTAAATGTTTTTTAGATCTTTGTCGAGTTGGGTGTCCGATCAGTAACAGTACGGGTATATGGGCATGCCATCGAAATGAAGATTGTCCTTTAAAAACGATTTGTGGTGATAGTCTGCTAATGCGTATGAATGGCGAACGGCCTACAGTTTGTTGCATGAACGAGCGTGAGTTTTCTTGCCTTGGAAAACTAGAACGAAGCTAAGGGCTGAGGAAAATGAAGTGGAGGACCTGAAAAGCAAATGAAGAAACACTCTATCCCCCAATTTAGAAATCAAATGATGCATGATTTAGAAAAACAGTCATTCTTTTCTTAGAAACCTCTCCGGTTAGATTTCGGGGTGTGGTGAACTGGGCCCAAAGCACCTAGATAGAAGACGATGGCTCGCTCGCTATAAACAGCATCTCAGCCTACTACTTATAGTTAGCCCTAGCGTGTGACAACAGTTATGAAACGAATTCTCTGAAATCAATCCCAGTCCGCTCTGCTTAACACAAAAAATATTTGAAGCGGGATCTCATTTACAAGGCCCGTGCCCAATCCAAATCACGAAAAGAAAATGGATTGAAGATGAGAGCACAGACGCTTAAATGATGTAGGCTGGCAACGCGCAAAGCAAGGAGCGTCTGGCCATTTGGCGACTTATAGATTACTTCTTTATTGGCTTAATGTCACCCTGCTAAAGGAATACTGGCTTCAAATTCTTGAATGGTCGGAATCAGGACGTTTTAACTCTCAGGAGCCCAGACGAGAATGATCGAAACAGAAGTAGCTTGCGGAAATCGGGGGCGCGTTTGAGCGCCCCCGATTTCCGCATTCCAAGCGCCGCGCGGCACGATAGACGCGGCTGCTGTGAGTGGTCCCGTCGGGCGTGGCCGCTGGTGACACGGTATTGCGTGTAAAATTCATTCCTTCTCCCAGCCTTGACACTGCTCGCGTCTGCGTTCCGCCTCCTGCAATTTTGTTTCTTCCTGTTCCTTCGACCTTCACGACCTTCACGTGTCTTCGTCATATTTCAAATTTTTGATCTCTTCCTGTTGTTTTTTTCGTTGTTTTGCAATAAACAGTTACTTTGTTAGTGGAGTTCTGTGTGTGAGCCGAGTTATAGAGTCCGGTTTTCTCTTATATTCTTGTGTACCGGGTCCCTTTTCCATTACAATCAAATTAAGCAGTAATGTGAAGAGTTCAGGGGTGCTAGCTGGTCTCCAAAATCAATTTGCATTGGTGGATAGTGGGTGGGCGGAACACGTATTTAAATCTACACATGGCTGAGCCCCGTGCTCCAATGCTAATTTCTCCGGCGCGCAGGGTCCTCGTTGTTGGAGCACGCTAGACATTGTGGACTCGCTCTCTGCGCTTCTGACAAATGTGAAGGTGAAGGCTGTGGTAGTTTTTCAGGTGCATATATCAATGACTTAAGGTAAGGTTACGCTGAAAGTATAATTACTTTTTTTTCAGTATAGTTGGAAGCTTCCAATAGCATGAAAGGTCTCTAAGGTTTCCTTCTTCTTAGGTAATATAAGAACGGTTCATCGCCTTATGTATTTGCATATATCAATGACTTAAGGTAAGTTTACGCTGAAAGTATAATTACTTTTTTTCAGTATAGTTGGAAGCTTCCAATAGCATGAAAGGTCTCTAAGGTTTCCTTCTTCTTAGGTAATACTAGCTGGCTTACCCGGCTCCGCCCGGCCCTGTCAAAAACGATAAAGATTCCATTTCTATCCCTGTACACTTTTACCTGTGCACACTTCTACATGCAATTCCCTATTCCCGCTGTGAGAGTAATCAGTATGCTCACCTACCTTCCTCACCAACCCCCCAGCCCCGTAGCTCAAACTTTGCACAAAAAAACAATAAAATCGATAAAAGTAAGGATAATTCTAAAAACTGATGGCGTTATTCGGCTATTCGGGCCCCAAAATGTTTTTGTGACGGATCTTGCTCAAACTTGGTATATGGGGGTTAGTCAAGCCGCTGATGACGAATATCGTAGTCATTTCGCGTGGTAGCAGGTAAAAAACATGAACCTGCCTGAAACCTTGGCAGAAAACTACCTAAAGTGGTGTTTCGAGATATCGTGCTCAATCCCCACGATAAAGGCAAGTTGTGTGGTATGAAAGTTTCCCAAGACCGTAAACCTTTCCTTATAGGACCACTGCCGCGCGCGATACATCCTTCGGCGGCTTTTGCCTAAGCAGAAATAGGGGGAGGGAGATTTGCCGCGTGGGATACACCCCTCGGTGGCTTTTGCCTAAGCAGAAATAGGGGGAGAGACATTTGCCGCGTGCGATACACCGTTCGGCGGCTTTTGTCTAAGCAAATCAGGAAGAGGGAGATTTGCCGAGTGCGTTACACGTTGGGACAGGTTATCAGGATGGCGCTGGAGACCGTCATGCAAAACGACCGTCTCCCCATTTCATGAATATTTGGGATCTAAATTGGCCCTGTCCATTCAAATCGTCACACAACTTCACTAATGCGTTATGACAGTGAGCAAGTTTTATATTCATAAGCAGTATACTTGTGAACCGTTACAGGTAAAGTTTTGAGCAAATCTGGAACTTCGACCCATCTACACCCACCGTAACCCAAGAAAATGCAACATCCAGCGAAATCAACATGATATTTATGTTCACCGCGCTAAATGACCACCCTAGACGAAGTTTGAAGCAAATCTATGTTTTCGACTCCACACCGTATATAACCACCCTAACTCCATGAAGAGGTCCCAATATGCAGAGAGAGTATGAAATTCGTAATCAGCATGTCGAATAAGTTCTCTAGCCCGAACTCCAGCCGAATTCATGATTTTGACTCCCTACCGTACACCCATCGTCCACATGGGGAGACTTTCTGCGACGAAAGTGTGATATCTGTAATCAGCATGTAAGATAACCCTTATACACGAATCTGAGCAAGCTCTAGCAAGCACAAAAAAATTTTGGGGCCCGGTTAGCCGATTAACGCCAAACTAATATCGAGCTCGTAATCAGCATGCTTGATTACCCCCCTGTGCAAACTCCCAGCCCAGTGGCTCAAACTTTGCAAAAAAATCGATAAAATCGATAAAAATAATCGATAATCTTGAAAACTAATATTGTATTCGGAGTCCCCATGCTCGATTACCATTACCCCCCTGTGCAAACTCCCAGCCCCGTAGTTTAAACTTTGCAAAAAAATCGATAAAATCGATAAAAGTAATCGATAATCTTGAAAACTAATATTGTATTCGGAATTCCCATGCTCGATTACCCCCCTGTGCAAACTTCCAGCCCCGTAGTTTAAACTTTGCAAAAAAATCGATAAAATCGATAAAAGTAATCGATAATCTTGAAAACTAATATTGTATTCGGAATCCCCATGCTCGATTACTCCCCTGTGCAAACTCCCAGCCCAGTGGCTCAAACTTTGCAAAAAAAATCGATAAAATCGATAAAAATAATCGATAATCTTGAAAACTAATATTGTATTCGGAGTCCCCATGCTCGATTACCCCCCTGTGCAAACTCCCAGCCCCGTAGTTCAAACTTTGCAAAAAAATCGATAAAATCGATAAAAGTAATCGATAATCTTGAAAACTAATATTGTATTCGGAATTCCCATGCTCGATTACCCCCCTGTGCAAACTTCCAGCCCCGTAGTTTAAACTTTGCAAAAAAATCGATAAAATCGATAAAAGTAATCGATAATCTTGAAAACTAATATTGTATTCGGAATCCCCATGCTCGATTACTCCCCTGTGCAAACTCCCAGCCCCGTAGTTTAAACTTTGCAAAAAAATCGATAAAAATCGATAAAATCGATATCGATCGATGACGAAAAGTAGCCTATGACACCCGCCGGGGCCCGAAGTGTATGTGTGCCAAGTTTGGTCAGGATCGGTTCAGAAATAAAAGTTTCTGTTCGGAACATACGTACATACATACAGACAGACATACAAACAGACATTCAGCTTTATATATAAGATAAGAACGATTCATCGCCTTATGTATTCATCCAAATTTGTCTGTTTGAAAGTTCAAAAACAGTACACAGTATTATTGAGATCTATTCTTCACATGTGCAGGCAACTTCTCTTGAAGTCTGAGTCTAGCTTCCCTCATTAAATTCGTACGAACTTGGAATTTTCATCTTATTGCTCTATCTGGTGTGAATGCTGGCTTTTAACGAAAACCGAAGAGGGATTCTCTCCTTTTGTCTAACTTTACGAAGCTTCAGTATTCAAGATAACTTGCATTGCAACATCAAAAGTTCCACCGACGTGAGGAGTAAGTCTGATTCAAAACGATTTTGGATGCATGCCTGTTCTTCATGAATATATCGCTATTCAGCAGCTATTTGCACCTTCCAGGGAGTAGGAACTACAGGCTAGCGGCTGGTCATGATAGGGAGCTATCAAGACAGAAAACTACATGATACAAAGCCTAATAGTGCATGTTTACAACTTGAGTTTTGGTACGAACAGCTACGGTCGATGGATCAAGGAGCAGTCCCTGATCTATACTTGATAAGTGTTTGTTAGCATTTATCGATAGCAACATCCAATTGTGAAATATGCACTGCAATGTTTCGACTGTGAAAAAACCTGCGTTTTCTTTCGGACAGCTCACACTCCACCACGCATACATCCCTACACCTTAGGGCACGCATTAGTGTTTAGCAGCAATTCTTCATCAGACGCGCAAGACTGCCTCTATGATTTTGCTTTACAGGAAGAATTTGGTCTATATGTTCTGATAGGAGAACAAACTGACTCACAAAGCGAAGCGAAGCAGTTCTTAGTTAAAGGCATTGAGATGGTTTTCGATAGAGAAAGTTTTAGCCTTTTTCTGTTCTAAGTCAGATTTACTCGAAACCATTACTGAGGACTTTGATGAAAAGCACATATTGTGCGCTTGATACATTGATGATTTATTCCACTCATGTGAGATGCCCATTCGCACCTCAATACAGTTTCAGGTATGGACGCCTGTCAGAAACAAAAGAGATCTGTGCTGTCTATCATTCTATCGATGGACCAACAGAACACTTCAGGATGTTTTTGCCTACGAACAATAAGCAAGGGTTCCAAGAACAAACACATTAGTTAATCCGAATCAAATTACTCCTGCATCATAAAAATTATTCCCGAACAATATCACGCTACGATTTGTGGCATAAATCCTGGGAAAACACCAACACTTATGCACTTGTTGGCATTTCACTGCAATCAACTGTACGCCAACAAGTAAAATACAGCAACTGTGTGCAAAAAATCACTTACACGCAGGGCCTGGCAGGAGGTGGTATTTCAGAAATTTGAAAACGATATCCCCTTTGAAGCCAAAATTTCTTACGACTTCCCCTTTGAACCTATTTTTGACCCCCGTAAGTCTCTGACAAACAGATATACACAAATAATAAGATGGGCGGCCTCAGCGCTTATTATAGTAGTACTACCTGGCTTTCCTGGTCCAGCCCGGGTCATCTTTTGAGGGGATGGCCAAAAACCACACTTTGTCCTTCTACCTTCCCGTCCTTTTGGGCCATATTCTCCACCCCTTTTCTGCAGTATCAATACTGCACTGCAGCCCTCCCCCTTACCCTTCTGCACGAGCTTACCCCAGAAAGGCTTACTGGAGTGACTGCACCTTCTAATTTTTGAAGTGGAAATGAACTTCACTGCATTGTTCACACCAAAATGTGCAAGCAGTTTTAGCGGCTGGTAAGTGTTCACTTTCCTTGCAAGGTGCCAAAAATCATTGAATCGATAGAAGAATTCCACAAATTGCTTCGAAGGGTAGCTTAAAACCATTTACCGAGGCCGAAAACATGTTTTCAAGGTTTCAGCTCAATGGGTTCATCCGCAAAGGAGTCTATAAAAAAACATAGGGTCAAAATTTGCACAAACTTTGACGTTTATATATCTAAGATACTACTCATTTATTAGTCAGCTGTGCGATTGGAGCGCTCTTTCCGAGGCCGATCATAACGCTGTGAACCCTATTTGGGGCTGTAGCGAAGAGGGGCCTTGGTGGTTTTGGAAGCGGATTTGAACATATAGTAATACTCTCGACCTAGTCCACATTTATGTAAAGAAACCCGGGAAATTATGTGAAGGGAAGCAGGGAGCCACCCCATGGCTCCCAGGTGGCGCGGGAGACCTAATTTCGAAAAACGCTTACCATTTTTTAAATTCACATAAGTTTCTCATAATTTTTCACACTTTTTTTGTGCTCATGGTCCTCCAACTATGCAGCAAATTTGGTGCCATATTGTTACTTGTGCATTGAAAACGAGCCTATTTTGTTATTTTCCTCTTACAAGAATTGCGATTTGAATTCCCGCCTGCGGGCAGGCTAGCGATCGGAGCACAGAATCTTCACATTGCTGGAATCTAAGTTCAATAGGGCAGTAGCATCAACAAGGAATGATGAATGCAGGATGATATGTGCATTGTTTATCGGTAAACAAAGGGGAAGTCGTATTTTGGGGTCCGGGGCTCCGCCCCAGACCCCAAAATACGACTTCCCCTTTGCTTTTTCGGGTCAAAAACGATATCCAGCTTGTGAAAGCGCCACCCCCGCCGGGCCCTGCTTACACGGCAAAGCTGTGTGCAAAGAATCACAAGTTCACTGTATTTAGCCTGCTCCGGGAGCGTAAATCATGTGCGGCGGCTAATTTCGCACTGGGTCATGCGGCGCGCTTTGCGCAGCCATGTGTAGATTTAAGTACGTGCGGTGGACAGAGGAACCAAGAGAACGGAGGACCTCTTCCATAACGATTTTATAGCTTTCTATGCAAAGTACGACTTCTCGCTCGCTTGGGTGATGGCTTAGTTCGGTGGCCTACTACCGTTCGGTGGCCTACTACATCGTGAAAAGTTCATCCTCCCTAGTCCTGACCGACACTGCCTTCAAGAAGCGCCTGCATCGCGGAGCCGCGGCAAGGTTGATAGGAGAGTCTAAACTTTTCGCTGCTGCCTGGGCAGGGGGTTACGCCACATATTTGACACGGATGTACCTTTGACTGCGGTTAGGTGAATATACACCAGAGTATTCTACCGTAACGCTGCAGGAAAACGTCACTGCAAAAAAGGATGGCACTGAAAATAAGCAGACAAACAACCCGCTCAGGCAGTGTAAAGAATTTACAGCTTGAACGTCGTCTACCGTAAACTCACCGAAAAAAGAGTAGAATCCGGAGTTATACTTCGAAATCTAACACTAAAATCTGCGGGCAACACATCGAAAAGGTACCGAGACAAACCTTGCTGTAGCAACTTTAAGAATGCTTGTGAAAAGGAGCAGCACAGCTCATATCCTTAGCAAAACAGGCCTTGGACATCCATTGTCCAAATAATTTCTTAGATATATGCGAAAATGGATTACCGCAGCTCGATGCCTTCAATCCTTATCCAGTTCTTCATGAATGTTATACTATGCAAGACTGTAGGGACGGTTTTATTTGCGGCATAAATGATGGAGACCTGACAAAAAAAGGAATTTGTTGCCCGGGTGAGTTTCGAATCACGAGATCTAGGCCTAACATTTGTCGTTTAGACCGACCCTATCCGCGAACACTGACTCCGGAGGAAAAAGAACATTTTAAACAGTTGTACGTTGATTTTTGCGTTCTTCTTTCTCATTCTTTGTCACATAAAATTTGAGCACTACATAGTCAACCAGTTTTAGGCTTAAAGAGAATGATGAAAAGATTAAGAGACGCAAGAGTTTTCGGCGAGATCTGTCCTTTTTCTAGTAAATACTATCTTCACTCTAGATCAGGTATAAAAATATCAAATTTAGCCCGCTGATTGGTATACCATCACTTCTTCTCGGTCTTACATGCTATTTATACATTAAAGATGAATTTGAACGTCGAGATGAGGAGCGACGTAAGTCTTCTTTCACAATACTTTCTATGGATATTAAAGCGATCTTTCAGGTGTGAGAGAATTTCTTTCGAAGAAAAAGGCAGGGAAATAGTTGATCAAAGCTAGTATGTCGCATATTAGTTAAATTTTGTCAATTTAGAGAAAAGCACAAAGAATGCGATCAGCGGAGATTAAAGAAAGTGAATTTCAGAATAAAGGAGTGTTGAAGTTAAGCGAAGAAATTGGAGAGATTGTAAGCATTTAAAAATCAAATGTTTTACTCTTGTCGAATAATACGTGGTTATTCAGAAAAAACATATTAGGCTGGAAACTAAGTTTTGCAACTGGTTTCATAACTTCACTCTCTTTGGATATGGCGCACTCAAAATTTGGCATTATGTAGAAGGCAATGTGAGCTACAAGTGAGCACAAATTGTCCAAAATTTGAACCCGTAATAGAAAAGTTAGAGGTGGTTTTCGAAAACTAGTGAAAATCTGAGAATTTTTGGGGTTTCAAGCTAAAATGAAGCCTTTGGCAGCCTAGACTATGCGCAGTAATCCGGATTCTCTACAAATTATTGCTGGAGGTTGACTCCTTTGGCCTAGTAAGAAAGAAACAAAATTTAGGAGCATGTCGAGATTTGGCGTCCTCATAAACTCGAACGAGTCGATGTGAGCAAGAGCTGCTCGGGACGACCGTCAATGAATAAAGAGTCCGAAGCTCAAATTCCGCCGAGACTTTACATAGTAAGGTTATTTGGCCTGCTAAACACGAATATCATATTCATTAGTTAAATCAACGCCTCTTTCCTTGTTCAGGGTAAGACCCCATATCGTACATCTACAGTAATCCTACAAAAAAGCCCTTATCACGCAATTTCACTATCGCTTTCGTGATCAGCATGTCGGATAACATCCCTATGCCAAGTTTCAGCCAAATCCGTCAAACTTTGAATTTTTCCCCTCCATACCATACACCTACCGTAACCCTCACTGCGACATCAGAATTTGGTAGGACAGCAGCTGCGCTTGTAGCTTACGTAATAACCAACGCAGTGGCAAAATTTGAGTGCGCCAGTGAGAGGGAAGTTATGAGACCAGTTGCAAAACTTAGTTTCCAACCTAATATTATAGACTGAACCTGCAAATTTGTTCTGCGGTGCCTTATTTATTTCACTCCAAGATGCAAAATTCCAATTTGATCTTTTTCCCTAGTTTGCACTTACCACAAATATTTCTGCTTGCAAAATATGAGCGGTATTGTACGTTTATGAGAGATTATTTTTGCGCAAATGGAAATGTACACTTTGAATAACCATCTGTAACGATTTTTTCAGTACTATACTGCCTAATAAAAAAGATTGCATTTTTCTTATAAGGGCGGAGGGGGGGGGGGAGAGAGAGGGAAAACCCAAATAAAGAGATTTAGCGTCCATTTCAATCATTTCCTCAGTTTGCAAGACGATAGACGATTCTATTTTCTCAAATAAGAGTGGGGAGGGAAGGGGGGGGGGAGGGGGGGGGGGGGGGAGAAAGAAATCCCAATATCCCAAATAAAGAGATCTAGCGTCCATTTTTCTCACTTCCTCAATTTGCAATTTCATATCGATAATAGCGCTGAAATTTTGGAAAATGGCGTCTAACCTTTGATTCAACTGGCGGCTGGAAGGCGGGGCTTTGTAACCTAACTGAGCAGCTCGCGTCCGCGACGCAGTCTACGTCTCTCCCGAGCGCGTGCTCTCTGATCATAATCTAGCCTAACTAATAGTTCATCATTATCTAGCCTAACTATTAGGTTGATGCATAATTCCTGCACCAAAATAGGTACAGACCGCAATAACTCGGAATAATCCTATATCCCAAGTAGGATTCGATACATCATTAGATAGAGCAAACATAGCTCTACAAGATGGTGCTTAAAGATTTGCAGCAGCTTTGATCCAAGCGAAGATTGAAGCCAAAAACGAAAAAGATTCAAGCGCCCCAAAAAACCAAGAAAAAAATGGGAAGTCCGTTCAGAAAATCTTTTGAAAATTCCTAACTTGCTCATGCATTGTCATTTCGTATAAGACATTACTCTACGCAGTTGCTGTATTTTTCTCTCAGCTAGAAATTGAGAAAACGAAGTTTTTCACATTTTTTCCAAAACAATGCTGCGATGTTCTAGCACTGACAGCTGTATACTATGGGACCTTAGAAGCGTGAGTGTGAATTTTCAGCTTTTTACAGCAGCTGGTTTACGAGAAATATCGGATTTTTGACAACTAGGCAAGAAAAATTCGGATGAAGAGAGCTAGATCCGTCATTTCTCGTGAACTAGCTGTTCTAGAAGGCTGAAAATGTAAAGTTTCACTGTAAATGGCATGTACCACGCAACTGTTAGTGCTAGAACATCTCAGCACTAATTTGGCAAAAACATGAAAAACTTCGTTTTCTCATCGTTTAGCTGAGAAAAAATACAGCAACCTCATAGATAGATGTCTTACGTGGAATGTCTACACTTGAGCAAGAAAGAAATTTTGTAAGAGCTTTTTGAACGAAGTTACAATTTTGTTTTGATTGGTCTTAAGGTTTTCGGACGCATGGTTTTTTTCAGTTTTTGGCTCAAAACTTCGCTTGGATCAAAGCTGCTGCAAATCTTTAAGCACCATCTTGTAGAGCTATGTTTGCTCTATCTAATGATGTATCGAATCCTACTTGGGGTATAGGATTATCCCAAGTTATTGCGGTCTGTACCTATTTTGGTGCAGGAATTGTGCATCAACCTAATAATAGTTCACGAAGCCCGCCTTATACACCAAACCAGTTGAACTAAAGGGTACAAAGAAAATTCAACAAGCACGATCTACTTATGTACCGCTTTCAAAAATTGTTGATTCAATCTTTTTTCCCTCTTTTTCAGAGACATGCTCTGGAAGATGAATCGTCATTTAGTCTTAGCAGCGTCAGTTTTGAGCCGAAATACAATGAAATAGTTCTTATTGGGTCTGCTGTGGAAAGTGTGGAGGTAATAAATATTTTCATTTGCTGATGACCATAGTCCACAATTTTCAGACAGCAGCAGAGGAACATACACAGAGTTCTCTTGAGAACAAATCGCTAGCCACGGCCAGGAGTCAGAGCAAAGCATCTGAATCGTCTCTTTCTAAGAAATCAAAATTGCCGCCCTCGACTTCAACTGAACAAAAATCGGCCAAAACTACTTCGCCTGAAAAGAGTGCACTTACATCGCCTAAGACCAAGTCATCCATGGTGAAATCGGCTGGAAAAACTAGTTCACCAGGCACATCCGTCCGTAGTACGATCAGCACTCCATCCCTGAAATCCACGAAATCCACAAAAGCTCCAAGACCGCTGAAGATAATCTCACGGTCCACCTCTGCGGGACCTACAATCGCTAGGGATGCTTCAAGACGAAAGCCAAGTACTCAGATGCCAGGCCAAGCAAGGAGTTCCCGAGCGGAAAGTTCTGTAATCCCATCAGTTTCTGCTTCAAAGGCGAAGCGATATGTGGGAAAGTTCGTTGAACCCAACATCAACAGGGAGGTCAACAGTGAAGATAGAAGCTCTAGCGGCAGCGACATGAACGATTTTTAGATATTCTGGTTAAGCCTTCATGAAGATAGAATTGTTAAAATAGCAGAGATCGTAATTACTCTCTCTTTTTATTTATAAAATTTATCAAGTAAATTAATGGGTTGAATTGCCGTGTAACTTGTGCATGCTACATCAAAAATTATTGTACTCATTACCATACTCGGATCTTTAATAAAATATATTCGACAAAGGCGCAGACTGAAAAACTTTTGATTTTCCAATTTAATTCTCTTTACTGATGCTAGGACCGCATCTGTCTTCTGAATACTCTTGCATATGTTGCAAAAGTCAATGGGTTAAATTCGTCTGTCTAAGTCTGCATCCAGATTTGCCATGCGCCTATGTCGTGCTGCCACCGTGCCGGAGCCGTGCCAGTGTTATGCCGGAACCCACGTGGACCACTGCATATCAATTTATCATCAAGGCACGGTGTTGGCACAAAAAACTGCGAATAGAGCCTAAAGTTTCCGCAAGTCGCCTTTCGTGTTTTGATGCGCGAATGTGTAAACTATACTCCAAAACGTCCGGGGGGGGGGGGAGCTAAGTGGCAATCGTGGAACTTCAGTTTTTAAAAGAGTCTAAAAACCCGTGAAAAAGGGGGTTTCTTGTTTGTGAACACATCTCTCTCGTGTTACTTTCAAAGTCTATTCTTTCTTGAATTCCTGAGAGCGATCGGCATTTCTAGCTTCAAATTACTCTGTACAGGATGGGTTGAATGGTCTGTATTGCCATCGCACAATAAATTGAGGAACTGTTTCGCCAATTTAAAACGAATCCGCTATTTGTGAACACAAAATCAACTGGTAAGAAGAAGTAATTGATCTTCGTCAGCGAAAACGAATGGGAGGTAATGGGGCCACTAATCAGCTGAGCGCTACTGTTAGAAAAAAATTATCACGATATTTTTGTTGGGTGGTAAACAGACAGGTGGTCTCGACGAACAATGTGAACATTGTTGTACTTTCTTGACTTCTTGCCATCATCTATATCCAAATTCAAGATAGGAAATGTTTCCAGTGAAGCCTGAACACAGATTCTCAATTCGTCACTGACATTTCTTCCAAGATCTTGGCAAAATCGCGCTTTGCTAAACGTAACGATGCACTTGACAGCGGACTTAGCTTGCGTCGGCGCGATTCGAAATCTCCGTTGTAATACTGGTCTGTACTTTTGCGAGTTTAGCATGACTATAAATCTTCGTAATTCTGTGCTCTCAGCAATCGTGTGCTCTATCCTGCACTCAGCGCTTCTTCTGACTTCTGATCAGCCTACGCTTCTGCAAAATGTTATTGCTATGCGTGTGCGCCTAGCATCTGTTACAGTATAAAGGGTGGGCCGCGAAAGATCTGCATTGTTCAGTTTGCCATTTGTAAGTGGGGCTCGTTCTTGTGCGGGGTTCGGCTATTCGCGCACATCTTTCCCATCAGAGAAATCTTCTTGATCTGGACGACGTTATTCTACTCAAAGAAGAATTAGCACATTCCACCCATCAAAAAAATTTTCTTGATCTGGAAGATCTCTTATCCGCTCATGAAATAGCACACATTTGGAAAATATCTTTTCTCCTCATAAAAGTTCTAGCAACCCTACCCCATTTATGAAACTTATTTGGAAATTTTCTTTTCCTCTTCATGAACTAGCACACTCTACCCATCAACTAGATAACCCTGATCTGGAAAATTTGTTTTTTCCATCAAAAATAAACTAACACACTCTACCCATTGAAGATTTCTAGATCTGAAAGACTTTTTTCCTCTCATAATAAAAACCAGCACACTCTTTCCTACAGAACATTTTTCTTGATCTGGAAGACCTCTTTTTTCAAAAGAAATAGCATACTCTACCCATCAAAAAAAAATTTCGTTAAACTCTCGCCGCCTTCAGAGGACTGTTTTCAAATACATAAATTATTTTTGAGTTTTTCCTACATCGCCTCAAAGATGATGTCTCCTCCATATGATCTATAATGAAAAGTCCAGTGAGTTTATGTGTGCAGTTGCACACTTTCGCTGTAGCGGTAACACGTCAATCATTTAATACATGTATCACATGTATTTCACTTCTCCAAACACAGTCATGTGTCAGCAGAAGAAAAAAGAAAAAGCGCGATGAGAACAGTATCTGGGAACCATGCCAAGGCTATCAGTTGTGCAACTGCACACAATAGCAAGGAAACTACGTGACTGTAAAAGATGTTCCAGTCGATCAAAAATGATTTCGCTTTCTTATGTCCAGGATCTCAAACTTAGTTCCAAAAAGTTTATATTCAAAAATTTTCTAAACGCTCATGGCAAGATTTGCTCATCTTTCTCTAAAAACCTTCAACAAGAGAATTGTTACAGCATGCTTCGAATAACTTTCTTCTTTGCTCTCGTTGTGGTCTACACTTTTTCTGCACCCGCTGAAGAGAAGATAGATGTGGAAAAAATGGAAAAATTTGAAGATATTCCACAGCAATATCGAGGTAATTTCCTTGTATAACTTACCTAACTTTTTTCAACTTTTGAGGAGAGTTTGCATTTTTTAGACCTTATTCCCGAAGAGGTTGCTACACACATCAAAGCCATCACCGCCGAAGAAAAAGCTGTTCTGAAAGAGCTCATGAAGGATTACGCAAAGTACAAGGACGAGGAGGAGGTAAGGGAGGGTATTTTTAATTTGGTTTTGTTAAAAGATTCTGCTTTTTAGTTTTTAAAAGCTATAAAAGAAAAATCAGAGAGTTTGCATGAGAAAGCCAGCAAGTTCCACAACTTCATCAAGGGAAAAGTCGACGCACTCGGAGACGAAGCAAAGGCATTTGTAAAGAAGGTAAAGTTTTCTGGTTTCTGAAAATATGAATTGCTGTTTCTTGTAACGGTGGAAAGAAACTTTGAACCCTCTCCCGCTATCGTATACTCCTTCCCACGCAGCGTCCTCGAGTACGGTATTGGGTGAGGGTTCAGACGTGTGAATCTCTGCCATGAATGAATCATTTTAGCTATAAAAAATTTTCTAGCTGCATTCCTTAGTTCTCCTTTGATTAATTAGGTTGTTTAGGTTATCGCAGCTGCTCGAGAAGTGCATGCAAAACTTCTTGCCGGGGACAAACCATCGCTTGAAGATATCAAGAAGAAGGCTAAGGAGTATGTCGTTCCTTCAATTTTTTTTTGAAATCTAACTTCCCCAATATTCAGACATATGGGTGAATTCGAAAAACTAAGCAATGATGCTAAGGAGGATCTCAAGAAGAATTTCCCAATCCTTACTTCCGTTTTTACCAGTAAATCTTCTCCCTTCGAGTCTTTTATTATTTTGCAAATTTCATATTTCAGATGAGAAAGCGAAAGCGATGATTGACAAGTATGTGGAGAACTAAAGAGCAAGAAGTGAAGTGTCATCTAGATTGAATAAATGTTTTTAATAAAGCCTATTACCATTGCAAATTTATTTTCAAAATGCTTGAATATTCTAAAGCATCGTAAGCGGATGAGGAAAAAGTGCTAGCAAAATTTTTTTTATTCAAAGGTGAACGAATACATAAGGAATAGGAGACATCCATGAAAAATGTTTGTTCTCAACTGTGGTCCTTGTTCTTATAATCTTAAGGTCCCTTTTTACAGCCAAGAAATATTTGACAATGTTGACTAAGGTCTTCCTTTAAAAATCAAAAAATCAAAGCCTATTTTATTTAAGCTGAGCCAACCAGAAAATTTGAATTTATTAGATAAGAGCGGAAAGGCGTCAAAACAAACAACTCAAATAAAATTGTACTTTTCTTCCTAGCTGGTTGGTTCTGAATATTGCACTATGATATATTAGGATGAACGGTAAAATTAATGGCACTTAGAACTTAACTGAGGTTTCTCAAAAAAGAGAAGTGATCAAACATTCCATTTAATAAATGCTAGAATATGTTATTCTCTTTCAGAGAATATCTAAATAAGGTCATTTACATACCTAATAATTTTTTACTTGCTGAAATGCAAACACAATGCAATGGAACAAAAAAACTCAAAATTTAATTAAAATCAAGTTGTCCCGTTTTTCAGCATTCAGCCTAAGATTTTCGTGGTGCTCTCGTAAGCGCGGCCTAGTTTAGAATTGATAAATTAACCTAGAGATTGACGTTCTTGTTTTACCTCAGCCAATATACCGAAATAAAAGTATTGAATTATAAGAGGTAACATAGGTAACGTGAATTTATTGATATTCAAACTTGAAATATTTCTTTCGATATTGCTTCGGTGAAAGATCATGCCAAGGTTTCAATCAACCCGCTCAGTCCCAATGGACTTGAAGAAGGAACGCTTTCTAGCTTCAAAGTGACATTCTTGCTTTTTTCCTTAGCAAGTCGAGAAACTTCTAAATGCAAGTAATATCTTTTGAGATTGTGATAATTTTATATCATTTTGAACAGCTAGCCGAAAATGAAGGCTAAGAATAAAACTCCCATTCAAGACTCCTTTGCTCCACTCAGTCCCGATAAACTCACTTTACTGCTTCTTTCCATGCATTTCATATTTACTATATCTGTTTTCCGCAGCTGCTCCTCTCGGCCCCGAATTGCTATAGTAGTATGTCGTAGTATAGCTCCTTGGTGCTGTTTTCTCAAGCAGTTTACCCCTCAGGCTATAAGTGGAACTGGGCATTGCGCTTATCAATTCATGCTAAGCTGTACGAGAGAGATGTACATCGTTTACTCACGTGCTTACCAAAAATAATAACAAACATATGCAGTTTTTATGGAGCTGAGGAAAGATACGTATAGGAGCAAAAAAATTTTTTTGCTATTTGAAAAAATTCCGTGGGATTTGTATAGCGTATGAGTTCTTAAGCAGGTAACTATAATTTTTAAAGTGGTTGTTACTTAGCTCAATAATTACAAGCCTGAAGTTCAAAAATGGAGTTTAAAGCCCTTATTATAAAATATATGAAGTTGATAAGTCTTCAGTAATAAAGCTACCTGAGTTCTAATACGACTAGTCTTTGGAATTACTTTTTTGATTAAATTTTTGGTTCGCGCTGTAGTACACGCACGATCAATTGAGCGGTTTTTGTTGATAAATAAGTTACTTATTGTTACTTATTGTTAGTGGACAACATTAAAGCTTGTGCCATGCATTTTTCGATTTTTTGAAATTTCAGGAATTTTCTGTTATTTATCCACGAAACAATCTCTGACTCACTTCGAATCAAATAATTTGCTGCAAATAGTCTCGAATGATATATGTACAAGGTTGAAAGTTGATCGTAGATTTCTGCTTTCAACCGATTTATTCAGAAATCTAGTGGTAAAATGACTATCTGTTTTTGGGCCAATTCAATATTCAAAATTTTCATAAGAAGGCCACTTAAATTTGAATTACCTTTTTGTATGATAAAAGACATCGATACCAATATTGTTTTTCCATTTTTGCAACTAACAGAAATTATTGCGTATAGAAAGCTGTGTTGTTGAATCTGGGCATTCTGGGAAATAATTTCAATAATTTTCCACGCCTCACCATCAAAATCAGTCAATATTGATTTTCAGGTCAATAGATCACGCACACAAAGACTGAAAGCACTTGAAAATATTGCCACCCTCTTAGAAAATTCGTTTAGCTTTGTCTCTGAATTTTTCTACCTAACTTCGTGTAGAAACTCTAGCTTTTACTATGACTTCCCTTTCGAGTCGAGCAAAGATCTTGTTTTGTTTACAATTTTTTCAAAAATAGACTTTTTACAAAGCTGCAAAACAAAGTGCTGTCAACCAGTTTTGTTTACAACCTTTTCAACAACGTTTGTAAAGCCTCTACTTCAAAGATGTATAGCTCTTCACTGCTATTTACCCTTCATCCATTATTTACTTATTTGTTGACAATATTTGTGTGGCTACTCGGCGAGAGGAAGATTCCGGCGAGCGTCGGATCCGTTGTTGTTCGCCGGCGGCTCAAACGAATTTGCCGCCATACCAAAACGAAATAAGAAGAAGCCAAAGCAGCGCAAAGCTGCTTGGCTGGAGGTGTCGTGCAAATTGGGGATTCGTAGCCAGAACTAAACAAGCATGAATGCATGTTGTTGACTCTGTCTCAACTCGCAAAGGCATTTTCTGTGTTTTCTTGTTTTGTTTTTGTTTAAGTACTGTCAAGAGTTCTGTTTCCACGCTGTTCAAAAATTATGAACAATTTTATAAAACTAACTGGACTCCAGACAGTCTTACTCACGAACTAACAACGCAGAAAATGCATGCGCCGCTGCCATTGCGCTTTAGCAGTCTGCATATCTCCTTATGTGCTCTCTTTCTTTCTCCCTTTATAATGTCTTTGATGAATGCAATGCGCTGCCAACTACATAATGTCTGAGTTACTGGTTTCATATGTAAAAAATTGATACTTCTCTTTTGTCATTGAATATTGAAAGAATGCTGCAAAATGCTATTCCTTCTATAATAGCCATAACTTTTCATTTTTTATCCTTGTGTATTCAAAAAGCAATTGTATTATATATGAAATGTTAATTTTTTCATTAGCCCTAAAAAGGCATTATTGCTTTTTTCTTGCTAATAACTTCTTCAGAAAGTAAAGTGTTGGAAATCACTTGTTTGCACTCTCACGGTTTTCGACCGTACATGTAGTCTGGATTACTGCCCGGGGGGGGGGGGGCTGTTTGACCACGCCTGATATTTGGAGTCCCGTGTTCTGGCGAATTCTTCGGTTCAGTTTTTACGTAAGATTTGTGGTATTCTCAAAGTGTTTAGTATAGCCTTTGTTGGTTTTTTGTTTTCTTTTTTCATTTTTTTCCGTTTTGTATTCCTATGAATTTTTTGATGAAAAAGAGGTTTTCTGTAATTGTAGAGGAGGAAATTTAGCTAAATAATGTACTTTTTATGGTTGCAGTCCTTCAAAAGGCATAGGAAATTTCCAAACTGGCAAGAAAAACAAAATTCTGTTGAGGATATATGCTTTCCCAGCTGCATAGGAAAATCAACGAAACAATGTCCGAAAATTTTCCCAACAAGTAAGACTGCTCGCTGCCAATAAAAAATGAATGTAATATGCACTTCAATGCATGCTCTTTTTCAACCTCTTCCTCCCCTCTCCCCCCCCCCCCCCCACATCTCCCCTGGGCCATCATTACTAGCAGAACTCTGTTAGTATAACAGAGCACGCCTCAACAAACCCATTTCACTTTTTCTAACGCCCCTTGATCGTAAATACTACTACAGCGATGGGCTTGTTGTTTCTTTCGAGTGTCCTGAAAACCACAGATGCTATATTTTCACCTTTTTGTGCTTCGATGCAACAGGCAACACCCAGCACGAAGCTATCGGAATCACAATTCCCCTGTCTAATATCAGCACGCGCAAGATATGGGCATCTAGAAAAACGGGCAGAAGATGGACAGAGCAATTTAGAAAAAGTCCGAAGATGGGCGGACCAATTTTAGGCAAAAATATTCACGAAGAGTGGATATTTCTAATGGACTCTTTTGAATAGAAAAAATTGTAATGTGTTGAAGTAATTGTTGAATAAAATATATCTTGAGAGTCCTTTAGCTTTTTTCAGAAGGACTATAATATCTATTTCATCAACATGTTTTTGCATTGATTAATAGTGGACATGAAATTTTGATTACTGTGCGGCTGTTAAAGATCTTCTAAAATTTACTAGATCTTCGCCTAAAAACATTTTCTTAGCAGAGATAAGCCAAAAATGTGTCGATTACCAAAAACTGCTTATGTCAGATTCACTGCTTAAGATAACTTTGCATAAATATTAGGCTGTCCCGAAAGTGAGCTCCTTTCCTAATCAAGTTGCTCTTGTTTTCTTGGCAGACTTGGGAAATATTCGTTATAGCGAAGCAATCTCTACAGAAAGACCACCAATGATCCGCCTGTCGTACATCACGTAAAATTTGGAGGCAAAACAAAATTTTTCAACTACCCTTAAAGTCCTTCCAGAAAATTCTTACGGACCCTGAACTTGGTTATCATACAATAGACACATAGTAGTAACCAAAAATGCATTTGGTGGATTTTATCCGGTACACAAAACCAAAACTCGAAATATCCCGAAAGTGCAAAAACGTCACTTTTTTCGAGTTTTTATGTCATACTTCGTATTTATCGATCACTAGGACGCATATAAAGGCAAAATTTTGAGCTTTTTTGCGGAGTTTGCCATTTTTGGACTACCTTTTTTCTCGCTTTTTATGCATGGTAAGAATCCGGTTAAAGCATTCTTAAGTTCTACTATGTTTCCACTGTATAACGACCAAACCAGATGCGCGTAAGTTTTTTTTGTGAATCCAATTTCCATGTGATAAATTTTTCTTAGTCCAGTTTTTATCTGGATTACGACTTAGGCAAATCTTTGGTGATAATTGTAGAGCTTGCTTCGCTTTATCGAGTGTTCCCTTAGTCTGCCAGATAAACAAAATTAGCT